GCAAAGCCATATTTTTTTTCGGGAGTAGCCTTATTTTTCTAGGGGTAGGAATCGCAATGGAAACGGCCAAGGCCCAAGACTAACCCCGTTGTGGGGGACACCCAGCGGCATATGCAGGAGTTTTCCCGGGACATAAGAATGTTGGAGGTTTCCCCAGAGACGGTGTTAGAATGGGGGGTTCGGTAGGACAGAGAAAAGGGGTAGGAGGGGGGGGGGGGGGGGGGGACAGGAGTCCGTGGAGGCGGGGTACCGCCATGGGTACCGGGGACGTTCAAGCATCTCCGTAAGGTTGCGAGACAAGCTTGTAAGCCAATGGTTGAATCAATCCCCCCGCTTAATTTTCAGTCACCAATTCAATCAAAGTCACATTCTGTTGCTCGTGTGTATGAACCTGTTGCCTGTAACCACTCGGAGCTTCGAACTCGGCCGTAAAAAAGCACCGGGCTGGCTAATATGATGTATCTCCCGATTGTGTGTATTTATCCTGTCCGACAATCACTTTTCGGCGTAACGCTGGCGCATGTGATGAATGTCGTTTGGACCATGGGACTTACCACATACCCCGGTGTCGGTGCATGTGCCGTCGCAGCACTCGGACGAAGCGGCGCACTCGTCTCCAGCCGGTGCGCACTCTGGCTCCTCCTCTTCCTCCTCCTCCTCCTCCTCCTCCTCCTCCTCTTCCTCCTCTTCCTCCTTCTCCTCCTCCTCCTCCTCCTCCTCCCTCTCCCCCCTAAAGTTCGCTACGGTTAGCTGCGAGGAGAGGGTGCATCAAGGTGATGTGGGGAGCCGGGCATGTCATTTCACGGCTTCATGTTTTCCTTTGGGTGGCAAAAGCGGTATAAGTCGGAAGAGGCTGGCTGCAGCAGCGACGGCGCCAGAACGGACGCTCCACGTTAAATGTAAAACACCGACAAAACAAATGCTGTGAAAACGCGGTACCGCCCGAGAACGATTCACGGACCGGCCCCCTTGACGGCGAAAAATTTCCACGAGAAAGGTTTTCGCACGTCAGCAGGCACCAGAGTCGTCGTCGTCGTCCTCGACTCTCACCATGTTGTCCATGATCTGGCGTGCGTTGTTTTCGGTTGAAGTTCCGGTCGGCAGGCCCAGGTAATATACGTCCGGGTTCGAGAAGTAGTTCACTCTTGGGACGTTGCAGTCGGTGTCTAAGCCCATGATCGTGCGGTAGCTGCACGGCACGACGTGCGGTTCGTTGGCAGGGAAGGGACACCACCATCGTTTTTGCCATGGGCATTGCACGCACTCACTGCGGACACGAGTATTTGTTGTGCGTTCGTCGCCCACTTTGGAGCAGCATTTGTACGTAGGTATTGTAGGGACACAAGAACTGCCGCACAACTGTCCACGAGAAAAGACAAAGCGACGGCCCCTCTGTGAGGTGTACAGCATGTCCACGATGTATGCTACGAGTGAGCGCCGACTAAGCTACAAGTCAGCGCTGAGTCAGCGCTGACTTAGCGCAGACTTGCAGCACATTGGATATGCTGCACATCTTAACACGCTGGCTTGGTAGCATAATGAAATATGCTGTACATCTACCACCCTTCCGATGTGTCTGCATGTGTCGAGAATGAGAGCGCCGAAAGGGCGAAACCGCAAGAAGGATTCGACCAGCCCGACGAAACGCTCAGGCTCCCTTTCTCTCTCGCGCACACACATCGCCTGCTGTCAACGTAGCTCGGATACACCCCCAAACACCACGAAGTCAAGTCAGTTGTCCTCATTGGCGCGGGAAGGACAGTTGAGCTTCGGTGGCACGCAGGTACCGATGTGTTTTACAAGGACATACTACACAATTCACCCACGATGACGGTAGATTAGACGGTTCAGAGGGACACGAGGACATTGATACATCTATGGCCAGGGGGAGGGATATTTGCGCGTACCTGTTGGTGCCCGTGCAGTACCGCAAACCATGAGCGTACTCGGCTTCGCTGTCGGCATCACTTTCTCTGTCGTGCCTGCATCCTAAATTATGTCCGATCTCATCTGAGACCAGCAGAGGGAGGGGAGAGACATAGTGAAGAAGGGTTAGCCAACCCAAGGTTTGTTTCGGTACGAAATCACGCGTAGGTCGCGTAACATACCACACCCCCTAGAACTGGTTTCAAAGCCCGAACACTCGGTAGAAACATAGCGGCGGTGCCGCAAAATGGTGGCGTTGGAACCGAGTCATCGAGAGCGTTCGCATAGTGGGTCACTCGATTTTTGTATCCTCTTTGCCGTGGAGTGCTCGAGCTTTGAAATCGATCCAGGGAGTTGCGATATCTTACGCCATGTCAGCTACGCTACACAAACAAGTGTGGCTGTCCAAACGGTTCTGTGTAGGTGGAGCTACAATACTGCCCACCTTCCTTTGTGGAGCTGGAGCTACCTCATGCGTACGACTTCGTTTGCGTTTGCTACGTCACGCGCGATTAGGTCGACAAAAAAAACTGTTGTGTCGAAATCCGCGCGCGCGTTTCAACCCCATCTCTTCCTCTTACGTGTATGGGTAAAGTTTTCAAGGCAGGTTGCCTTGGCCACAGAAAATCCTGAGTTCTGGTAGCCGTTGAAAACGTAGCTGAGGGGCACAATTGTTGGGATTGCGGGCAGGGGGAAGACGGGGCGAAGGTCTGACCTATTGGTTGGATCCGGAGATGTTCAACATCAGTTGTGAACCGCCTTCCACGCTGGTGCTCCGGGACGAATCCTGGTACGGTACGTCCTTCTCTCTTCGCGGCAGGACTTACTTCCACACTTGCTCAAATCCGCGTTGTAGATGCTAGTGGCAACTTCCGCGAAAAAAACAAAAAGAGCTACAGCCTTGTAACTATTGTCAGCGCCTCTGACGAGATCAAAGATCGAGGGAAAACCTCAACTTTGGACCCTTAGGTCGCTGGCGCAGGGAACAAGGGCTACAACATTTGCTGCTCGAATGACTATTCTCCGCCTCGGGCTTGGCCTTCAAGCGCTCGGTGTTGGACTCACCCAGCACCGCAGGACCCCGTAAAATCGCCTGAAACATTTTGCAGAGGGCAAGGGTGAAAAGTTAGGAATCCAGCTTTAACTACATGTAGTCAGCAGTGTCATGGCATGGACACCTGGGTTGTTCAGCGTCTTGCGAAGGATCCCCGCCAGCCAATAGTACTCGTAGAGCAGGCACGGTCCGCCTACCGTGCTTTAGAAAACCAAAGACTGTTGACAGCAGTCAAAAATAGATACGAGGCGCGTCTCCGGAGTGGGGATCATCAAAGCATGTGTTGGTGTGAACCAACGCCACTTGCTGTCAGGAACGTTTCCCAAGCTCGAACAGCTCACGCAGCTCACGCGCTCTTGGCTCGAAGAGCCCAGCGACCCTCATCGAACCAGAGAGACAAATGTACAAACCTGTCAACAGTCTTCTTTCTACTCTGGCCGAGAGCCGTACGCCACGGGACTGCGCAATAGGCATCCCATCAAGGATACGCGATGTATGCTTGGCTGCTTCTCTCCCGAATGAGCCATGGATACTTGGCTGCTACTCTAGCAAGCGTCTCGGAGAGTGAGGGCATTTCGAAACGGCTACTACGCAGCCCCCCTAGTGTTCACGAGTATGCTCCATCCGTCCTCACCTATCAGCTGCACCAAATCGGCAGAATGCGCATCTCGTAGGCTCTCCACCTCCTCACTTCTCGTTAAGCCGGTAAGGATGTCTAACGCAGCGCTCTCCTGGGAGTAAGGGAGCTGGGACGGTGCAAAAAAGCAGCACGATTGCCACCGGATTCTGTCAATCGGCTGGAGGCTACGCAAGTCGACGCCACGATGGTAGTGCAAGGCAAGGCCGACGATGTTTTTACTCTTAAGTCGTTATTTCCGCCGTCAGCCTTCGAGACACGCATGTCGTCAGCGATGTTTTACTCAAGAGTCTCTGCAGAACATGGAACACAGCCAGCGGACAAAGAACTCGCAGCCAATCGGTAAAGGAACGTGGAGCGGCTGGCTATCCATGTAGTAGCACCTCACCTGGGCGACGTGAACGAGGACGATCTCCAAGGGAATGTCCGAGTTGTGCATGGCTTGATTCGTCTGCACGAACGCTTCGGCGATCGTTGTCTCCATCTGCTGGCTCTCCAGGCCTCCCAGCGAGCTCATAGCCTCTGGGCTGTAGAGAACCATCATAGCAACCTTCTCGGAAGGGGCGGGGTGTGCGGCGCGGGATGTGTTCCTCACAGTTAAAAAGCGGATCGGGCAAACACGCCGGGCATGGAGTTACTTCACGAATAAATAGGCTGTGAATCAAACGTGGTACGTTTGCTTTCTGTGGGTCAATTCCCCGGGGTCTCGTGTTGTTTTCAAATATTTCAACGTCACATAGCACTAGAAATATGAAGGGTCCTGTTTGGGAGCGCAAAATGTGTATCTGCTGTTTGTAGCCCACATCGATGAATCGGCATTTCATGTTAACGCGTTCGCCTTGTGAGTATCTTCCAACGTTCTGGTGCTGATGACTAAGTCCCTCTGTCTTTGCTTTGAGCGTGCTCCCAACGTAGGTACCTGAGTAGAGGACTGTAGCCCGCGGCTGCTGCGTCTTGGCGTCACAGCAGCATATCCCTCGAGCTCATGTCCTCCTCGGTTGTGCGAGGGTCCTTTCACCTCGCGCATCGTCGCAGAGAGCAACTCCTGCAATGAATTCGTATTGCGTGTTCGACAGGTTAAGGAAACTAGTGTGCGGTTGAGCCTTTAGCCCACCTCATGCTATTCAAACTTGAAGTGGTGGTGGTGGTGGTAGTGGTGCACGAAAACTCGAAAATGCGCTTCACCGGGTTCTCCATGGGAGCCATGACGCGGAAGCTTGGGGGTGGTCCAGCATTCCAAGGTAACCACTTGCAGACAAACGATCACAACACCGCGGAAAACGCTTGTTGTCAGCAGTGGTTACGTTGCCCGTGTTGCACTGCCGTCAGGAGCGAGGAAACAGCCATGTTATTTCGGCCTCTTCATGGGTGCTAAGCGAGGTTCGAAAACGAAATTCGATAGTATTACCGGAGGCGTGCCGACGGCGTTCGCCATGCTGACAGCGCTCTCCGTCTCGCTTTGCGAGCTAGGTTCTTCTGCTTCCACCTCGACGGGATCGTCTTCCTCGCTAAAGTCCACCTCAAGCTGGACGACGCAGCATGCAGAAACACCGAGAGCGACGGGGGTCATTGGCTTCTCGGGCATTGCGCGAAATCGGGGCTTTTTTTATACATGGTCAGAACTCAGAACAGAGCAGATATGCTGATAATGGCAATAGGTACCAAGACATTTCAATTTTTGACCTGTAGTCGACATGGCTGATAGTCATTTCTGGTTGATTACTCTGGCGGTCTCGAACAAAGGATCGGATTGTTGGAGTCGCGAATTCCCTCGCGAGACGGGAGCCGGCGTTCAACGGACGCGAAAGTTCCTGTTTTTTATTTTATTAGTTCACGGAAGCCCACCTCAACCATGCAGATGTCGCTGCTTGAACCCGCCGCACATGGCACCGATCTCACTTGTGTGCTACCCGACGTCTTCTTGAGCAAGAAGGTCTGAGGGATGGTAGCCAGCAGGGGCGGATAGTACGGGCCAATACACAAAAACATCGCCGTCAGAGGTCCCAATGTGATCCCGAGGGCTCTATTCTTGTTGGTTGTGTTAGATGTGGAATAGCGACGTGGAAGACAGTCAGTGCCCGTCTCTGTGAAGGTGCCACGCTCTCACCGTAAACATACGTAGTGTTTGGGCAAGTGAGTGGTGTCAGGGTTTTCTCTGCCGAGACTCTCTTGACGCGCCATGTAACATTTTACCAGGTAGGTACCAATAAGACTTCGGCGCAGGGCTCATGTGACATGTGAGTATGTGGAGGTCTTGACTGAGCGAGCACGTGGAATACATACCTCCACATTACATGGGGTGGTCCAGGTCATGCTGATAGTGCTGGGGACGGAGTCGGATGGGGGCGCGGGGTCGATCACGTCTCCAATCCACACCTGTGCGGCGGAAAGGACACAGGAAAAGGCCGTAACGCGGGAGCTCCCGTGTTCACGTGCCAAACTGTGACTGACGCATCTTTTGACACTCGGTGGAGGATGGAGTCGCCGGGGAACGATACAGAGCTCTTGGTCAGCGTTGGGGGGGGTTATTCACGCTGCCCTCATGGACACCATCAACGCGACTGCTGTACTACTGTATGTCAATACAAAGCTCTCGGCAAGAGAGAACGCTCGACTTCTCTGCCTCGGACACATGCATGCCTGTTCCCCACCTTGCGATCGATGCTGTCGGTGAAAACATCTCCATCGACAACGGAAAAAGAAGTGCGCGTAGCAACCACCGTCTGTCGAGACGTTTCACAGGGGCACGGCGTGCGGGACGAGGGGTGGGTTGTAGTACGGTTGTGTTTTTTGGAACATGAGCGACACAGCTTCAAGGCAAACGCCGCTCGCCATTTTTTTCTCTTTTTTGGGTCGTGCCTGGACTGTGAAGATCATCCAACCGGGGTATTTTTGGTTACAAGATTTGATCTTGTTTCCTCTAATAGTTGCATGTTTGTATGCTGTATGCGAATATGAATACCATGACAATAGTGTTTTTTTCTCACCTCGTTTGAGTTTATGGCAAACCGCAGTAGAGTGGACTCCGGTGCCTCGAGCAGGCTTTCGCACAGCAGCTCACCCACTTCGATACTGCTCGTGACTTCGTTACAAACACAACAGCGTATAGGTACATATGTAGAAGTGTGCCGCGTCAAGAGAGGGTGAGAGAAGCAGAACAAATACAGAGAACAGAGACAGCAGTGACAGAGATAGAGACAGAGAGACAGAGACACGGGCTCGGAACGGTTGTACCGGACTTTTTCGGTTCGATGCGGGTGCCCAAACAACGTGAATCGAGATCGACCGCAGTATATAATATGTAGTCTACATCTCGAGGGTTCGGTCGTTCGGTCAGTAGACTAGTCTACAGGAGAACCTCACGCCCTACAAAAACTTGCAATTATTTGTTGCTACGGCTACAGCAGAGCAGTAGATGCATACTGTAGTCTATACAGGTAGATACGTGGTTTCATTTTTGACTCCGAGCCTCCAGGAAAAAATCGGTAGCGAGAGGTGTGCAGCACGGACCGCTGGGATCGCTTCTATCGCAGTGTATGTGCCGGCATCTGTACGTATCATCAACGGCTTCTAATACTGAACTCTTCTTGCATTAAAAATCGAAGGCAAAGTACCGCAGGAGGGGAGGGTAGAGAGGGGCTCTTCTGTGTGACCACGGGTTGGAGTAAACGGCACTAGTGCTGTGAGCGCTGATTTGAAGTGAAGACAAAAAAAATAAATAAAAAATACGTGTACATACATACGTGCAGTACACTGCAGCAACTTTGTCCCCATTTTTTTTGTGCTGCGTCGCCCATGTCCATCCGTCATGTTTTGGCGAACGACCAAACAAACGGTGTCGATCAACATTGCCATGCGAAGTACATGGTTAACGCTCGTGGAATCTTCTAGTGGGTGACTTCAGCTGTTGGGTGCAGAGCTCGATGCATAGGTCTCACCAGCGACGTGCTCGTCCCTCTCAAGCAAGGCAACGAGCTCCTCTTCTGGGCGGTAAATACCCCCGCTACCGGAGTCACAGATCGGGTGCACCGTTCCGACACCCGCATCAGGAATGTATTCCTCGGCAGATGTCCGCACGAGCGTTAGATGCAGGAGGATGCCACATAGACCTTGAAGGAAGCCTCGGGTAAGTCTCATCGCCGATGACGCGCGAGACCCTCCGGCTTGAAAATGGTTTCCCGATGCGCTTCTTGCTGTTCTTGGCATGACCTGGCGGCAGGGGTTGACGGTTGGAGATGTGAGTAGAGCTGCAAGACTGCCCACATACAAGCAACCAGGGATGTGGTATGCATATGCATATGCATGCATGTCACCCACGCATACCACAAGAGGTGCATACACGTGACGTGTTGACTGATTTTCACCTCTTCGCTACAAACCAGTGTGTGGGACTGGCTGTTGCTGCTGTCCTTGTGCAGGTCCTGTGTTCTCCTTGCTTATTCTTTCCTATCGCCTCGCATGTACGCCATGCAGTCGGGATGCAACACAGAAGAAAATCTGCAGGAAGAACCAGACCCGAGTGCAAACTGAAAGAACAGAGGGGCACCTGACTCGGAAATATCCCTTATGAAGCTTGTTATGACGTCATCATGACAAAACAACAATATTTCTGACTCTTGGGCTTTAGTCTAGTCACCCAAGAGGTATTTCTCGGGGATACATAGTCTAGATCGTAGATGCCATGACTCAAAACCCCCCCCGCACCTCTTCACGAACGTTGTTCTCAAAACCAAGGAAGTGGGAAAGGGTAGTCAGGGACGGCAGAGAGTTGGCGAACAACCGGCGATTCCTCGAGTTATATATGCCGGTCGCCCCGGTGGTCTAGTTGGTATCCTCGATACCTTCCAGAGGTCAGGTCCGGGGTTCGAATCCCGACGCAAGCGAGCTTCTCTTGCAAAGTGAGTTGTTCTCTCGCTTCCGCTCCTGGCCTAGTGGATAGCGCTACATTGTAGTTCGTGTGTACACAGAGGGAAGAGAGTGCTGAACTCTTCTCGCATTAAAAATTGAAGGCAAAGTACCGCAGGAGGGAAGGGCTCTTCTGTATGACCACGGGTTGGAAACGGCACTATATGTATATAGTGCTGTGAGCACTGATTTGAAGTGAAGACAAAAAAATAAATAACTGCAACTAACTCCGGTTGTATCCAGGACGTTTCCTCAAGAATTTTTCGTCAACCATTCATTGCGTTCGACCAAGTCGTTAGTACTTTGTCTTCACGGAACTTTCGAATCTCGATTTCACATCCAGATTCGGGTACATATTAGAATACAAGATCCAAATAACTCTCAATCTGATTGGGCAAAAAGTCCTTCCATCAGTCGACTCTTCTTCTGTTAGGACTCAAAACAGATTCAAAATGCCCCGGTGGTCTGGTTTGTATCCTCGGAACCTTCTAGAGGTCAGGTTAGGGGTTCGAATCCCGGCGTAAGCGAGCTTTACTTGAAAAGTGAGTTTTTGTTTCGCTTCCGCTCCTGGCCTAGTGGATAGCGCTAGTTCGTGTGTACACCGAAGGAAGAGAGAGAGTGCTGCACTCTTCTCGCATTAAAAATCGAAGGCAAAGTACCGCAGGAGGGGAGGGTGGAGAGGAGCCCTTCTGTGTGACCACGGGTTGGAGTAAACGGCACTACTAGTGCTGTGAGCGCTGATTTGAAGTGAAGACAAGACAAAAAAAAACAAAAACAATGTGAAGGCAACAACAACAACCAAACGCTAATCGGGATTTGAAGAGAGGAAACGATGAAATCAACCCCGGACTTGGGTGAACAGGAACCCAAGCTGGCGATTTAGCGGTCTGCTCGCACGCACGGCGCCATGTACACGTACTCCACGACACCTCTACCCACACAAAATCCATCCGCTGTTGCATACCGCCGAGCAGCGAGAGGGAGAGAACGCACAAAACTAACCCAAGGTGACCAACCAAGGTGACCGCGCATTGTTGTTGCACATGACTGGCGCTGTAAAAAGCGTGTGAGGGGCATGTTCCCGTGAGTTGTGGAACCTCAAACGCACAAACGAATTCGTGGCTTTCAGTCCACCGTCCAATGAGGCTCGATTCTGAATCTCACATGCACATCGTATGATGAGTGAAACACAGGGGCCATGGAGGAAATGAATGGTGCCCGCTCCCACATGTATGTAAGTATGCGATATGGCCACGTCACAACAGCAACCTCTGGGCAATCGGCCAACGCCAGACCTGTCGTGTTGTTCGCAGTGAGCTGCAGAGATTCGTTTCCGTTTTGGCAGATCAACCGTAAAATATAAGACACACAGGCCGTTTCGATTCGGATTTCGGCAGATCCTACTATTCCGATTCCCGCACCCTTGCCCGACCGTGTCTCGAAAGCCGATCTCGACCTACGGCGCACGGGTCGCGACATCTCGAGTAATAACCCTCGATAGGGCATTCCAAATCATTGCCAGTCGCCAAGTTTGATCCACTTCGGCGTGCAGTAGCTTACGTCACAAGTGTGCGGTCATGTGCGACTATGCGCGATGTTTTTCTCGCGTCTTCATTGAATGGTTTGCCGTCTTCCTGTCCTCACCGCTCGTTTTAGGAGATTCGAATCTCATGGCCAGCTTGGCAGAAATCAACAGACCGATGTCGACCTGCCGCACGTGTCACGATATTGTCTTGAGTGCGCCTCGATAGGGCATATCGCGAGCCATGCCCCCGCACCGAAGTTCACGCCCGTCCGCGCGAAGCATCAGACGCAAAAGGTGCGACCATGCATTTCCTCGTCTTTGCTACGTCTCCGTCTTGCTGTTGCTCTTCTTTTGATCGCCTGGAACCATTTCGGAAAAATTGAATTTCTTGCATTCTTTTAAAGGAGGTGAAGCCGTGGGCGGTAGCTTGCTCCGAGAGATAGATGAAGGTTCTGTTGTTGACACTCTTGTCCACGACGACGTTGAGATGGGAAAGCTGTTTGTTATTGCTGAGAGACGATCAGCAAGGGTCTGAGATGAAGTGGGGATCCAGCTTTATCTCAGGGGGTACACAGAATAGACAGTTCTAAAAGGGGTAGGGGTCAAAAAGGGTATACCTCCTGAGACCGACCTACATCCTATCAACAATAAGATGTACCCTATTCATGCTAGCAGCCACACTCCTTAACACTAGCCCACCCTGAATAACACATATGCAGATTCTATACTCAAATCAAAGCTCAAATCCTAAAAGCTACAATAAGATTTAGCTCATTCTCCTATGTATCGTACTACTTTCTGAAAGAATGAATCTATCCTCTTCTCCTATTATTGTAGAAATATCGTCGGAATGTATGAATATTAAGTTGGTCGGTGGGGCTTT